CGTTTATAAAATATTTGTGGAAAGCAAACTTTGAATTCTCATTCATCTCCTACATTTTAAAATATACTCTCATCCAACTAGAGAAGAGCTGTGTCATATAACTTATTTTCCAATCAAAACAGCTCAGATTTTGAGCCATTAAATGTATTAGTAATACTCCGTGTTTGCAAAAGACACTGTTTGAAACATTTTGATATAAAAATATTGATTGAACAATATTTGAAATATGGTAAAAAATCAGAGTTAAGTCACAAACAGCAAATGTCCTAAAATCTAAAATGACCAAAAACTGCTTGTGTTAACTGGCATAGCTCTATGCACTTCAGCCAAGTTTCATTTATTTACTCCACTCGAGTATTTGACTTTGAAACTAAATTTATGACAGTTCAATACTGATATCAGAGGGTTTGATGACAAAGTATATACCAGATGAAACATGGATGTAAAAATATTAAAATATAAAGAATATTGATTTAAATCTTTCTAAAAAAATATGCAATTACAAATATAGCTGTATCTGATATGTGATAATTGTGCATCAGAGTAAAATGGTGGGTAGAAAACACTTGCCTTGTGTTTTATTTTGCCTAATAAAAACCTATCATAATTGAAAGAAAATGAATTCCTCTTCTGGGGAAAAATGACATTCACAGAAAGGGTTCAGGTCTTATAAATGTCTAATATTAGCTACATTATTGTTGTCGGATATATCAGATACATTTTAACAAAGCATATATACACTACCATTCAGTGAACCTGCATATAACCCAATGTTTCAGTAAAATGCTGGCCCTTCAAAATAAAATGGCTACTAACCTGTGCTGTGACTGTTCTGGGGATTATTTTGGTTAATTATAGCTTGAGAACACAGGTGACTGGACTCAATGGCTCATGAGGCCCCTTCCAGTCCAGTGTTCCTACACTTTTTAAAAGATGAGTGTGTGTATGCACGTGTGCAAAATCTGTTTATATATATAAACAATAACTTCCAGGACCCTTAGGGATTTATTTCTATTGTGCAGAATTATGATAATCTTACTCCATCTTTCAAACTATCCCATCATTTTAGAACTGTTCACAGAATATAGTATATTATTATTGGGATGCAAAGGTATTTTGTCAGATGGTCTTGTGCTGCATTAGGAAACTTCTCTGCTTGAACTCTTCATATTAAGCATAAAGTGTACCTGGGAAACTTATATTAAAATCCTGAATTTGAAAACCAATATAAAAATATATATGTACTTAATAATAAGCAATGCACTTTCTCCATGTCTTCTACACAGCTGTTCTGCCTAAGAGGGCTTCAGTATACTCCATGTGCAGTCTATTTAAAAGCTATTGCATGAGATGAGTATTTATAGTGAGTGCTTTAGAGAATTACTGTGTAAAGGCATAGAACTAGTGTAGTGTTGGAAATTGATATATTAGGCACTACAGGGCATGTGATTAGCTGGAGGTAAAAAAAAATCCTTACATGTACTACATTCTTCCGCAGAACAGGAGAATATGCTATTGTTTAAATAATAATACCATATGAAAAGGTTAATCATAGTCTGACATTTGCACTATTGAATAAAAACATACTTGTGCTGAGGCTGTGAGTTTCCTTGATTAGAAGCTCTGTTTCCTGCTGGGATCTTCTCCAATACTAAGACATCTTGGTCATGTTCTTTGAGTCTTACTGTATTTGCTTCCACATCCTACAAGACAAATGTAAAAATTTTAATACGATAAGCAGTCAAGTCTGGTACAGTTAACTACTTTTTGAAAACAAATTAATTTCAAATAACTGAAACTGAGGCTCAGAGGCCACCACTCTATGGCTGGTCCTTCCCTTTTCCCATTATGTATCCTTCTTTCCTACAGGGACAGTGAAGTTGGACTCACTGAGGAGACCTTGGGACGGATATGGAATCAAGGGAAAGTCTGAAGCAGGGGCCCAGAGAAAGCAATCTTGGTTATGGAGTGGGGAGAAAAGAGATTTCCAGATCCAGCCCTTCTTCCTACCACTGAAATATAAAGACAACACAACGACTTCCTTCCACAGTCATTATTATTGGTCATTTGGTTTTTAAAATCTTATTCTTTGGAAGAATGTTTGAATGGCTTATGAACCTTAATTCCATAGAGCAGTGTTTCCCAACCTTTTCCATCGCATGGCACACTTACATAACTAAAAAAAAAATTGCAGCACACTGCCCCCTCCCTCTGCTCCCAACAGATATAATATGTTCGCTGCCATGTGCTGCCGCTGCTCCATGGAGCAGGGGGAGGAGGAGGGAGGGCAGGAGGAGGGTGGTGCATGGCACTGGCACTGTTTCATTTACTCATTTATTTGTGTAACTTTTCCAAAATTCTGCAGCACACTTGTGTATGTTTGACAGCACACCACTGTGCTGTGGCACACCGGTTGGGAAATGCTGCAGTAAAGTATTAGAGCTACTCAGAGTCCAGGGATATCCAAAGAAACAACCCAGAGCTACATAAAATGTAAGTTCAAAAAATATAAATGAAAATCTACCTGGCACCTAGATTTCAGCACTGCAGTGGAATCTTTGAAATCTTGGGGAAATTGGACAGCAAGAATCCAGGACAGAATCCAGATGTGAATACCTATAGCATCCTACTTCCCACTTGTTCAGATTAATTAAGTAGATTAGATAATATCATATAATTGTTCAAGTACGAACTCAATCTGAGCTCATTTTTTTGATATTCAAAAGGTACATAGATAGACCTTTTAGTACGGTGCAATAAGATGTTTGGTCTTACATATTATGGGATGTTTCTGATTAATCAGAATCAGAGTAAATGTTCCAGTCATCAACTTTACAGTTGGCTTGGAGCTACATTTTTCATTACCTTAATTTCTGTAAAAATATGAGTGGGCCATTTTTCCACATCCTGGGGGGACAATGCAAGTTATAATGCATTTAAGTTGCTACTTAATTTTTTCTTTAATTTTTCTGGGATGTCAAATGTATTTTATTTCATTACAGGTATTTCAGTTATCATACTCATTTGATTTTTTAATATTAATATTCAGAAGACAGGGTATGAAAACACTTGCAAGTTTTGTCAGTAGGCTAGATGGACTGACTTAGGGTTAGTGACCTATCTGAACCAATACCTACCCGAAGTATTCTGTTAAAGTCCTCCTTGTCTACTCTCAGGAAGTGGCAATTGTCTTCTCGTAGAACAATAGATGCTGCTCTTGGAGCATCGTTCACTAGTGCTAACTTGCCAAAATCGTCTCCTTCATGTAGGGTACATACCACACCCTGCAAACAGCAAAACATTTATACACAGAAACCATCATTATAGTCCATTCCATTGAAAATCCATGTGCAAATACTGGACTTCAAAATCAAATACTAAAACAAATGTATTTGGCAGCAAATCAACAGCCAAAATAATGACTAGGAAACAATACTTGATAGCTGGTTATTACTATTACTAGAGAAAGGAAAGATTAGAACAGAATTGGCTTGCTCTCTGAAATTAGATTCAGAGTGAAGGGTTCTTCTGGCCCTGCTGATGACAGCAAGTTGTTGATTAAAAAAAAAAGAGAGAGTGAAACCATGAAAAATGAAGTTCAAGTTTGCTGAAGGCTGTATTTGGAGTAACATTCTTTTCACCAGAAATGGCTGTCTGCATTACTTATTCTCTCCTTCTTCCATACATTAGTAACCCATGCGTTGCTGCCTATATATGTGCTCGTTGGTGTTCTATCAAGTCTGCTCCGTGTTCTAATTAGAATGTGAACGAGTCACTTCACAGTCAGAGTTAGAGGCACCAGAGTGCCAGACTATAAAAGTTGGAACCATTGTCAGCAAAGCAGTCAAGAATAAAGTTTAAGCTATAAATCATGGGGAAATGACCCCAGGCATAACATTAGAAAAAGATCCAGAAGGGCATGCATCTACATTCCACCTTGGCCTAGGGTAACAGTACTTAGCTATAGCTAGCAAAGTCAAAAGGACTACGTGTAAAATTTGGGTGGTGGTTTGCTGTGTTGAAAGTATCTGTATAGGTGTTATGCTTTTGTATCCTGGACCATTTTTTTAGTCAGTTATCAGTGAATAAAAAACAAAGTTATATTAAGAAACTTTCATTCTAGTGTGCCAAGTACTGCTGTAAATAAACTTGTAACTATTCCTTATATTAAATGTATGTGTGGGATCTATTTAGTTGAGGAGTCACTGAATGTCCTGCAGAAGGTAGATTATGACAAAATGCCTATTTTTAAATTTTAAATTACTCTGTACTAGGGCTGTGCAAAGCTTCGGGTGCTGATTCGATTCGGAGGAGAGTCGACCTGATTCGGTGGCTGAATCTCCAAATCTGAATCAAATCAGGGGACCAATTAAAAGGTCTGAATCTATTCAAAGCTCTCCAAGTAGATTCGGAGAGCTTTGATGATTTGGGCAGTCCCCACTAGCTGCAGCAGGGAGCTGGACCCGGACTCTGTGCTGGTAAGTAGGGGGGTGGGGAGGGAAGGCTGGAGGAGGGGGGAGGGGACCATGGAGGGACTCCTGCCAGGCCCCATCCCCCGCATGCTCTCCCAGCCCCCTGAGCACCCCCCACCCTCACCCACTCTCCCAGACCCACCCTTGGCTGCCCCGCCTGCCCCAGCTCCCAGTTGTTTAACAAAAAGCCCCTACTCAAGGGGTGTTGCCAGTTGTAGTAAAGATTAGGTCTGTGCAAAGCAATTAGTATTCATTTTGGATTCAGCTGATTTGGGGGACAGTGATTTGATTCAGTAATTCAAATCACTGTCATCAATCCATTCGGCTGAATTTGATTCAGAGATTTGGCTCCTGCCAAATTGGCCGAATCTCCAAATCACACAGGCCCCATCCCCTGCCCACTCTTTCAGTCCTGTCCACCCCAGCTCCCGGCTCTTTGGAAAAAAAAAGCCCACACTCACTGCCTGCTGCTGGGTGGGGGGGGTGATCCCCGGTGGCCCCCACTGTCCCATGCCATGTGGGGGGCTCTGTCATGAGCCCTCTGAACCCTGCCTCCTCTCCCAGCCCCCCCATGACTGCCCCACCTGCCCCAGCTCTTGGCCCTTAAAAAAAAAAACCCCCACAAAAGAACCACCCCTGAAACCCCCCCCACAAAAGAACCACCCCTGAACTCATCAACTCCTGCAGCGGCCTTGGGACTTCTGGGGGATTGTGACAGAGCCCTCCCACACAGTGTGGGGCAGTGGGTGGCAGCGGGAATTGCCCCTTGCTGGGCAGGAGCCGATGAGTCTGGGGTTTTTTGTTTTTTAAAGGGCCAGGAGCTGGGGCGGGTGGGGCAGCCATGGGGATAGGGGCTGGGAGAGTGGGCACGGGTTGGGGGCTCGTGGCAGAGCCCCCCATGTGGCATTTTTTTCCTAAAGAGCCAGGAGCTGGGGCAGGCGGAGCTGGGAGAGTGGGCGGGGGATGGGATTTCAGGATTCGGCTGATTTGGAGCAGCTAAATCTCCGAATCAGATTTGGTGGAATTGACTCGGGACAGTGTTTCAAATCACCAAATTGAATCGCTGTCCCCCAAATAGGCCGCATCTGTATCCAAAGCAAATACTAGCTGCTACGCACAGGCCTACTCTGTACTACATCTGTGGATGTAACTACACTAATACAGATACAGACTAGCCAATTGCTCATTAAGAATGACAGGGAGGGCGGGCAGGGATGAAGCATCACCACCCACCTGCTGCTGCTGCCTCCTAGGAGCGGGGATGGGGAGCTTGCCCCACTGTCCCCTCCATCCCCCTCTGACAGCACACCATGTCGCCTCTACCACCACTGGCCTTGCCCCCCCCACCCCCCCCAGCTTGGCTCCTTGGAGGTGATGCAGTGCCACCATGACAGAGGGGATGGAGCTGGGGGGCAAGGCCAGCAGTGCTGGCCTCAGCCCTCCTGCTCTGTCCCCTTCATCATGGTGACATTCCACTGCCCCCGAGGAGTAGAGCTGTGGGGGAGGGGGAGACAGTGGCACTGGCCTCACACCCCCACTCCATCCCCACCATCATGGTGGCCCTCCGCATTCTGATTGGTTGTTTCACTAATGAATCAGAGTGCTCCAAGAGTATTATGGACAGACAGACAGACCGACTAAGGCCTTTATTATATAAGAATAGTCCGTGGTGTATCTTGAAATCAAGTATCAATCAACTGCAAACATAGAAATGAAAAATAATATTTACCTTATTTCCCCAACCAATTCTGACTTGCTGTTAATTAATGTCTTTTCTTCTAAAGTTTAAGACTGCAACTCCACTAATAAAAGGAACATTAAAAAGTCTTCATAAAAACATACCTTTCCATAAATGACTACATTTACTGATCCCTTTAGGATAATGTACCAAGAAGTACCTTCTTCTCCCTGATTAAATACTAGAAAAAAAGAGAGAGAAAAAAGTATGGGGAGAATATCGTTATTAATAATGTAAGTAGGCCAGATTCTGCCCACAGTATAATTCCAGAAAAACTACTGTAGTCACTTAAGTAAGTCTTATTAACTTGAAAAAGGTATATAATGATTAATTTCCTTTTGATTTGGAAAAGGAATGCTAACCCTTTTATAATATTGGTATGGATTTTATAACACCAGCAGCATTCATTTGGACTCTGAAAGGTGATGAACATTCTAACCTAATCCTTCACGTGCAGAGAACCTAACTTTTACCATAGTTTCTCCCATATAACACAAAACTTTTCCCCAAAAAGATCTCCTAGAAATTGCAGTGTGCATTATAGTTGAGAAAATATGGTTAAAGCAGTTTCTACTTCTAGCCAGGCAAAACCAAAAAGTGAAGTCTGCACAGAATACACAGGATGCAAAACAGTAGGGCTGTGCAAAGCTTCGGTCCCTGATTCAGTTTGGCAGAGATTCAGCCCAAATCAGTAGCCAAATCTCCGAATCGAATCAGGAGACCCTTTAATATCTCCAAATTGCATCAGAACCCTCCGAATCGATTCGGAAAGATTTGACAATTTGGAAATAGATGCAGTTTTAAATGTTTTTTCTACATACCTCAAGGTACCATGCAGCTTGTGAATGCTGAGATGCTGGGGCGTATAAAGCATCCCACAGGAGTGTGAGGGGCTCCCAGTGCGCTTGGCAGCAGACCTGGAAGTAAGCCTAAAGCACTTCTGGTCCACTTCTGGTTCCTCTGGGGAGTGGACAGGACCCCGTCCTCCCGCCCAGCTCAGCAACTGGTGCCTCCTGGGTCTGGGGAGGGCACCCGGGGTCCCCCCATGGCCGATCGCTGAGCCAAAGGGGCGTGGATGGCTCAGCAGCGGACCTGGAAATGGACCGGAAGTACTTCTGTGCTTCTGTGAGAAGCTCCATCCACCCCACCACTGCAGCATTCACGAGCCACATCTGGTACTTCGAGGTATGTAGAAAAAACATTTAAAGCTGGGGCAATGCCCGAATCTCTGATTCTCTGAATCAGCATCGAATCTTCAGATTCGGATTCGGCCGAATCAAATCAGGGACAGTGATCTGAATCAACTAATTGACTCACTGTCATGGATTTGGGCTGAATCTGAATCGAATATGGCCTGTTTCGTACACCCCTACAGAACAGTGAGTATACTTGGCTCCCTAGCTGCTACTACTTGGTTACTTACTACAAGGGAAGATCATTTTTTCTTCAGCCTGCCTTTCAAAACCAAAGTGTGTATCTTACTCCCGGATGCACTGTATGTGATAAAATATTGCATTAGGTACTGTTTTTCCACATAAAAAGTTCACTACAATCATTATATTTTAAATACTATTTTACATAGAAATCTGGGCTTCTGAATGCAAAATAGAAAATAATTACAATTAACTGTAGTCAGAGATAGGTCAAAAGCTAAACCCAAGATTAAGAACACCCAAATACTAAGGGGAGTAGACAGTCAAACAGATATTAAGAACTATGTTTGCAACAGGCTCCTGCATTAAATAAAAAGCCAAATCAATAGCCAATACCCAGGCTCAAAACATCTAGCTGCGTATGGTTCAAAGTACATATCCAGGTTTTGCAGTTATACTTTCAATACTGACCTGTTATATGCAATGAAAGTGGGATAAAATATGATATGATCCCTTTTACTTACAGACAGTTCCTGCTTTGGGATGTGACTCAAAGATCAGAACGCCCGCTAATTCTCGTTTTACCTTAAAACAAAGAGAAAAGAATGGTAGTTTTTCTATGTATTTGATTTTTACAGTTAATTTCATATGACGTAATTTGGCAGTAGGCACCATTTTGCTCCCACGTATGTTGTTCTATAATGATCAGAATAATTAATGTCTTTAAACTCTCCATCATAACTTTCTAAAGGGCACAGATTCGGAGAGTTTGAGCTTTGGCCTGGCTTTTAGTTGCTCCGTTCCTTCATTGTGAGTGTTTTTCCTTGGTTTTCTTTCTGGCATAAAGTGTTGTTCCATAATCACCTGCAGCTAACAATTTTGATAAAAGTCTGCTTCATTCTGCGTTGAGTTTGAGCTGACCAAAACCATGTAACATGAACCTCTGCAGATTCAGATGCAACTGGCTCATACTAGAGTCTCTTGAATGTACACTTTCCATACTACTGAAGACAAAGAGAAAGCTTCCAAGGGGAACAGGGTCAGGCTCCACATATATTTATTTATGTACCCAGATAATGGCTTTAAGCCATCAGTTACAATAGACAGAGGTGAGAAAGCACTGTGCACCATTTGGAATCCTTACAAGAATTTTATAAGCCAAAAGCCTCCAGCCAACCTGCCTAGAGGCACCACCATCATCATAGTTCTGGGGCCCTGTGTCTCAAGTGTGGGTGGCTTCTTTGCTTGGGTGGAGCTGCATGAGAAAGCTCTATGGGCTCTCAACTTCCATCCCTTTTGCAGCCAGCACGAGCCTGCAATAATTCAACTTCTTTTTTTTTGGTAGTGAGTCATATTAAAAAGTACTTACTGTGGTAGAAAGATGAGACAAGGCCTTAATGTGAATAAGTTCTTCATATATAATTTCTAGATCATCTACAGTTCTCTGGCCAGGTCTACAAAGAAAAAATAAAAGGACAATCCAAAAAACAGGGAAATAAAAACCAAACCAAACAACAAAATAAAAACTAAATGAAAGTGTAAGGCAGTGCAAAATTGTGCCGATTGTCTTCAGAATGAGACAGAGGTCCAACTAAGTGCTAGAAATTGGTGAACTATTAAAGTAAATGGTCCCTTGGTAAACTTTATACCATAAACTCTAAAGTAAATACTGAAAATAAAATGTCTCTTATTAAAGGAAAACAAAAGAGGAATATTGAATATGCTTCAGATTTGAAAGTCATCCTTCCACTAATGTTGCTGATTAGAGATAGAAGAGAACCTCAACAATAATATCCTGTGAATGTTGACTTGAATAAGAAATGTAATTTATTTGGCTGGTTTTGTACCTGTATGGATATTCCAGTATACTAATTTCTAGGAAGCATGTACTTGGAATTGAGTGAAATTTGAGTGAGTAAATGTGACTATTTACACTAGAAACCCGATTCTCTGTGTTATGATCTTCTACCAAGGAAACAACAATATCACATGATCTGAGTGTCCAGTCAGAACCAATGGAGACATTTTGAGTTTTGAAATGTAAAAGCCCACAACAAGCATTTCGTAAATGTTCTACAGATTAAGAACGAGATGCCAAATTATTTGACCAATGAATTCATTCAACAAAATTCTATGTTGCTCTCAGAAAATTTAAGAACAACCAAGGGAAAGGGGCTTCACTTTGCTGACTCAATTATTGTCTCAATTATTTGCTGTTAAAAATCACTAAGAAGAATTAAGAACACTCCAGGGAACTGGGCAGAGGAAGAACCTGCCCACTGCTGCTGTTGCTCTCCCAAGCTGAGCCCCATTGCCCACACAGCCTAGCTGGAGTAGGGGTGGAGTAGCTCTGGGGGTCTCCACACCCCCAGGGCAGCCTGAGGCAATGAGGACAGCAGGGATAGCAAACAGGGGAGGGGGGAATGCAAGGAGAGGAGAGGGAATGTGCTGCTGAGCACAGAGGGGAGGGAAGGGAGAATTCTTACCTGATTCAGGGACTTTAAAAAGTCCCTGGTTGCTGCTCCTGTCATGTGGTTTGAAAGGGGGCTGCAACCTTGCCACTGCAACCCCTTTGGATCTGCCCTTGGATACACAGTTATAAGTTTGACTCAATTCCTTTACTACTCAAAGTCTGAAATATCATCAGAGCCATGTCAATGTCTAGTGACCACTCCCTAGCCATTCAGTGCAAGAAAAACTGCACAGGCATCAGATATTAATAGCTACTTCATCTGCACTAGGTACAAATGGTAGAAAAGCAGAACTGATTCTTTTTCCGAAAAGGAATCCTAGAAATAGGGTGTTGCGTTCAAAGTTGGATATACAGTAAGGTTTATATATAGGATGACTAGAATTCAGAAACAAAATTAGGCCAGGATGTGAAAGATGTGTCTTGCGTATTTCTGATACAATAAAAGATTTGAAAAGTCTGTTAATAGATCCCAAAAATAAGCACATGACAATTATAGCTGAAACCCCCACAGCAGAATCTACTTTACAGTACAGTAGAATCTACTTAATAGGGATTCTGAGTGGACATTTTTTATCAGAAGCATAACAGCTTAGGCAACAGTGGCAGTGACAGGGGCAGTGGCAGGGATGGTGGCAAGTAATGGGCTGACTGCAACGGCTCCAACAGCTGGGCGGGCAGCAGTAGCAGCTGCTGTTCATGTACATCCTCTGGGTCCAAAGTTCTTTATACTAAAGGTTTTTACCCAATTAAGTGAAAGTTCCATATAAGTAAAGACATTTGTTGAGTTTAACAATACCCTTACAGAGCTACTCTGAACTCATCCTATTACCGATCAGGTCCCCATATCACTGCAAAAGGGCCAAACACACAGCACGTAGCTGGAATGGAAGTAACATTGGGCATGTGTATAATCCAGAGGTGTGACTACAGTTTGCACAGACAAACCTGAACTAGCTTTATAGTAATGAGCTTGTAGCAGCAGCTGCACTGTAGGTGGTACCAGCCTGCCCAGGGCCCTGGATACATCCATGACAGCTGAACCAACAGCTAGAATCATAGTGGAACCTAAGCTAGCTTAAAACTATCCTACTTTTGGAATACAGCACATCAATGATGGACTGCCACCTGCCCAACTGTGCTGGTAGAGGTAGCTGCGAGAAGTCTGGTAGGGCAATGGTCAAAGAAAATAATAAAGCTGTTAAATGTTTTTACTTTGTACATCTTCTTTATGCATCTCCAGAGCTTTACAGTGTGATTTTTGTAGCCTTTGCATTCCCATAAGAGGTATAAACATAAGGCGCAAGGCAGTGCCATGCTTTACTATGTTGTCCTGACCAGCTCCTGAACAGGAAACTGTATAGCTACATTTGTGCAAGGCTGCATGCAGATCAGTTAGTTCTGCAGCAGATTGTGTGCAGCACTACATGAATGTGGCTACACTTCTTGCAATTCAAAGCTTGTACAACTACTCCTAGTAGCCTTGTGCCTTACATTGCTGTACTATTGCACCACACACGGTGATATACCTATAGGTCTGTATATCAGCTCATTGACAGAACAATGATTTTGGCTTGAGATTGAAGCACAAAGACTGAACCACTACTAAATCACCTGAAAGAAATTAAACAGCAGACACTGTAATCATTTTGAAGCAGTTCCTTGAGAGAGGACCTATTTAAACAAATTTGCCATTTAAGTGATTTTCATTGTATTTAAAGCTGATATACAAAGATCTGTGCTTTTCATATTTTGAGAGATTAACTCAATTATTTTTGGAATGTGTAATGTTTGCGCTTATTTAGGTGTTGCAGCATAGATTCTAGATGAGGTTCAACAGGAAGGCTAAAAAGAGAGGGGACTCTAATTCAGAGACATAAGAGAGAAAAGAAAATTTCAAGGTAAGGCTTGGAAAATGGAGGCAGGGGAATCAGGCAGAGAGATACCACAAGACAGCAGGAACTCCAGTGGAGGAGGCTCACACACCTATTTTAAAAAAAAGTTTAGTTCAGATTTCTAAACTCTTACTTTCTGCTGTGTATGAAGTCCAAAGCATTAATAATGCAGTTGAATATCTGGACAGTCCTCAAAGATATGTAACAATGGTCCTTTTTGGTAAAAACTAAACATCTAAAAAAAATAAATAAATCATACAACAGGAGATGCCAGTATCTAGAGGGTCAGGAGAGTCATATTAGAAATGAATATATTGCTCTACAGGTTCTCTGTCTAATCACCTGTCAGTTCCACAGACTGCATAAATCACAAAAGAGAAAGAAGGGAGAGATTTGCTGTAGTGCCTAGCAATCTTTTCACTCTGGAGTTACAGTATTTCATCTTTTCCAAAAAGGAGTTGGATGGAGACTTCTTTTGGATAAAAGTCAGAGTAGAGAGGTCATGTTAAATATAAGGTATACTGACCTCTCATGTCTGCCAAGTGAGCTAATTTTTTCTTCTGTTCTGCTATTACCAATGGCATGTACTTATTATTGCACAGATGAAAGGCCAACTTAGGATAAAAGTAACATGGTTGGAATTATGCTTTTCTTACAGAGAATGAAATAATTTTTAGAAGGAAAAACAGAAACTGCTTTGGTACTGCTATGCCCTCTAGTGACTCAAAATGTTCACTCATTTTGCTATTGCCAAAAGCAAAGGTTTCAAAATTCTGTTATCCATTATAAGGCTGAAGACCCCAGTGATCTCAGTTGCAGAGGGGGACACAGAATTCAGTCCACTGTATCCTACTCAATAAAACAACCTCCCCATCCATACCAATACATTATACCGTTCACTATATTACCTTTTGCTGCAATAAGACAACAGGCAGTAATGCTTTAACAGTTAAACTTGACATATTATTTTCATAAGAAAGAGCATCAATGATGTTTGCAAAGCAGCCTGTATGGGTTAAGTAGAAAAATACACTGACATTAACATAAACACCCTCTTACATAAAATGTAAAATATAAAGGTATACCATCTGATTGCATTAATTTTTCTTTGGTGTTTTTTTTTTTGTGAGACAAGCAGATATATTCTTCTGTCAATGTGCTCATGGGTTTCCCATTAGTGTTAGTAATGGCACAGCATACCACATTGGTGTTTGTAATGGATGTACCTAGTTTTTACTTCTGCTTCTCCAGATGTCACATGGAGAGACATCAGGCATCACTGCTTCTGTAAAACCTATGTGGTGCCCCACTGATGTAGATTTGTAGGATCCTGCTGTGTAAAGACCTAGTTTCTGCAGGGGACATTCTCACTGCAATGTCTGGTTATATACAGGATAATAAATGGGGATAGATAGAGAATCATGCTACACATTAATAGATGGGAGAACTCAAGTGATATTAAGTGATCGATAAATACTGTTCACTGCTTGGGGAATTTATCAAGGTCAGAGACACTGAACTTCTTTGTTACTAGAATGTGGACAAAATACAGAATTTACTTAACTATCAAGGAACCACATACCTGCTGCCATATCACTGACTATCTTTATTATACTACTGACCACAAAACTTTAGGACAATAAAAGCTGTGAGAAAACCCAAAGGCCTGATAATATTGTATACATTGCAGTGACAGCTAAAATAAGTGCATTTATCACAAAGGTTCATATCTTTCCACCAAAGTTTGTAAAAACCCTGTTTACCAGTGCTAAGAAAGGAAAGCAGGAAAAAGAATCGATTTAGCTGTCACTAAATTGTTTGTGTATTGTTTGTGTGTGTGTGCACGCCTTTGCTTTTCTGCCTGTGTGCATGTGTGTTCTCTGACTTAGCACTGAATGGTAGGGTAACTAACAGTGGGTAAGAAGGAGCACAGAAATGGCTTGTTATACGCCTGGTATTGATGCAAACAATCTAAATCTGTCTCTTTGTTTCAGGGCTTTGAGACAAGTTTCTTAAAGTCCATATACCACATGTAATATTAAGCAGATATCAACACCAAGAAATGGAGAAACAGTTCATTCTGAAGCGC